CTTTGCACATATATTTGCTATAACCTTTGTCATATCGACATGCAATCTATAACCACTACATCATTGTTGCTATATTTTATGTGTCCTAGTTTTAATATTTTTAACCATGTTACATTCTACTATTATAGTTCTGTCTTTTTATGTAAATTATTTTTTTTCCTTCTTTAAATTTGAGAATCTTCATGTTGATGTTATTCTTTGTTTGTTTATGCTAATTATGCATAATTAGACCAACGAGGTAGCTGTTTATATATATTTTTTGTTTCTGCTGAGTTGAGGTTTCTTATGATTTTAATGTAGTCTCCAGAATTTCAGACTTTTCTTACTGTTGAAAAAACTGGTTATAAAGTGTATAATTTTGAATCTTAAATGGTTTCAATATGTTACTATATAGTGAATAACCTCCAAGTAAGATATAAGTTCAAGAGTGAAATCGAAGCTTAAAATATTTCAATTTTAATAGGATGTGTCATAATTTCTGTAGAATGCAATCATCAGACCTATAAGAACTGCAAACCAAATTGAAAATTTAATAGTAAAGAGATATCAAACAAATAATTTTATGACTTTGTTAAAGATGAGGCATTATGATTATGTTTATTACGTTTTTTTTTCTGTGATATAAACAGAGGCTCATGACTTCCATTAATAAATTGTCTTCTGCTAGTCTCAAGATTGAGCCTGACAAATGGAGTCAAATAGGATATTACGCAAGTTCTAAATTGTGGAAATTAGCTTACTATACCAACAGTTAACAAATGCTTGATTATAGTGATAGTGTCGTTCTGGTCCTTCTGGATTATCTAATGCAGGGCAGTCAAAAACTAAAAATGAATAACAAATGCATGTTTAATGACATGACATTGGCTCCCATGAAATCTAAAATAGCTAAAATTGAATAAAGCCTAGTGGGCACTTGCTTGTAAGGCTATTTCATGAATTTTGCACCTTTTTGGTTGAATATACTAACAATGAGAGTAGTTCCATCATACATCCTAACGTCCCCACCAAGTGCCTTCTCTAAGTTACACAATCATCTAGAAGTAACATTCCATACGTTACCAGAAATAAGGTTAATTCAAATCAAAGATGCATCAGAATTACTCCTGAAATAAAATAAATATATACAACAAGGTCTACAATCTCTCTCTAATATCAGTTTTAATATTCTATGAGACCAGCATGGTACTAATATATTGGGTCACACCTGATATCACCTGAAAAGATAATAGAAAAAACAAAACAAACTAGTGTCAGACCGTATGGTCTGAAACCAATCCATAGTCGAAGGTACTGCAGCAGAAGCACAATATTTAAATCCATGCATTGGAGTTTTTGTAACTTACACTATTCAGATACTAAAACTATCTTGCTTGTGAAGTTTTCTATCGTTTTCGACATTAAAGAAATATCATCGACAAATCTGAATGAAAGTGTAAGATAATTAGATATAGACAACAAATGATAGATATCATCAAACATCATAAAAATATGTCTTAATTGAGATATACTCGACTTGAAAGAAATCTTGGCAGAAATTTTCTACCAACTATGCATTACTCTTTCTCTAAAATTGTGAGCTAGAAGATTTCATTACATTTATAAAATGCATTTAAATGGCAGAAATTAACTTATCTTTCCCACTTTTTACCAAATGGCAGAAAGTAACTCAGAAAGTAATGAATTATATCAGAAACTAAGACACAACACAATTTTCATTGATTTCAATTTTAGTCAGTTTGATTGATAATGACTGTCCGGGCACGATTTAAGGCGTGGACTACCTCATTTCAGGCTGTATGGTATGATTTTTTACCTTTTTTGTAAAAAAAATGCTAGGCTCGTTTTCCCTTTTCGAAGACCCGAATCAAACCATTTTTTCTTTTAAAATTACTTTTAACTGGTTCTCCTTCTGAGGTTCGTGTCTCCTCACAAGCCTGTTTTGCTCTTTGTGCAACCATCGCCAAGTGTTCTTATCTTCTTTTCCTCCTCTTCCACCATAGCCTCCTTCTGCCTCTATTTTTCTTCCTCTTTACTCCTTCTCCCTTCCTCACCCCTAGTAATGTCATTTTAGTTCATATTGTTGTGAGTAAAGTCATTTTAGTTAAAGCATAGTAAGCAATATAAAATACAACATTAGAGAGCTTTAATGACTACATAATAATTATATCATAAATGCATAAGAACTTCTTCCTGATAAAATTACACATTCAATATCAAGGGTTTGGATTGCATACTTGGCTTCATCACCCTTTCTAGAGCCAATATGAAGCCTTTGATTTCAATAAGCAAGCCTAAACAAAATTTTGGATCAGTTAGCATAACTAGAATCTTGATTACAACTCTAGAAAGCTACTGTAAGTTCAAACTAGACAGCATAAGACCTGATAACGAAGAAAATTCATTCTACATATCGCAATTGTGGTTACCCAAGAAATGAAGAGAATAAAACCATTTATAAGTTACTCAGAACAAACACACTCAATTGTGAAAAACCCATGGTCAAGGAGAGTTTATAGATCATTAAATTTTGGTTATACTATTCCACAGCAATTTTGGAAAGGAGAATGGAACGACCCAAATTATAAGAGTGTTATCTGGTCAATAAGTTACTCCCTAATTTCGCCGGAACAAACACACTCAATTAGAAAAAATCTAAGATTGAGAAGAATTTATAGATCATTAAATTTTGGTTGTACTATTCCATAGAAATTTTGAAAAAGAGAAAGCAAATAGCCTATATTATAGGAGTGTCATATGGTCACTAATCATTCTCAAGAATATGACGAATAACAACCACCAAGAGAGAACTCCAAGATCACAAAAAAGGTAGCTTTGCATTTAATATTTCTATTTAAGGCCACAAAAAAAATCGAAAATTACATTTGCTTTCATAATTTCAGACTTGTTGAGATTCTCTGATTTTTTTTTTTTAATTTCTCTAACCCAATTCCCTAGCTTCAAGAGACATTAACGTAACCAAAGAACCCGTCAACACCAAAGCTTATTCAGCCAGATAGAAAGCAACTACGATTGTGACTATTTGAATTTAAATCACAACAATTGAAAAACTCAACATTATACAACCCCAATAAATATAACCAATCATACAACATCTCAATGGATGACAATAGCTATCCATGATGTCTTCATCTGGTAGTGTTGTTGACAACACTGGATGACTTTTATGAATCTTGAAGGAGACATATATAAAGAGATGCACAAATTACTAAATATGACATGTCATGTAAGACTAGATAAGCGACATCAATAAAATATTTCCTATGTAAGATTAAAGAATGGAGTTCAAGTTAGAAAGATGCCTTAGAAAGATATATTTTATGAATTTCATCATTCAATGACACATCCAAAGCAATAATATACTCCTAGATTCTAAACTTCTAGAAATGCACACTTAGAGCAACCATAGAACTATTTGCTGTATCATGATCAATGGGGGAAATAGAAACATACTTTTGGCAAGTGTAACATCATGAGCTAATTGTGCAAATTCTTCAAGTGATTCATCAACAGCAAATGGTGATGTTGATAATTTAGTGCCTTTACATTCAACTCCAACAAGGTAGGCTTCCTCTTGACAAACCTATATTCTTAATATGATAATTCTTTATTTTTAAAATGATGAAAAAATGAGCTACATATCAGTTTGTAATATATTTTGCCAGAAAAGTGCAAATTGAAAAAGACGCAAATAAAAGAGAAAAAACAAAGGCTAAAGGAATTGAAATGTGTCTAAATATATTATTCATGAATGATCTATGATAAAAGAATATCTAGGATGCAATTCAAGAGTGAGATAATGTCTGTTTTTTCTTTCTTAACAAAAACACTAACAGAAGTCATAATTCCTGTATAGTAATTATCAATAATTCGCAAGAAAGGTTACATAATGTTAAGAGGCAAGCCAGAAGAGCAAGTAAAATACTAATGACTTTTCAATAATCAAATTTGAAAAACCACTAGAGATATTCTCTAGTCAAGGTAATATAATAGCTTCAACAAAAAAAGATACTCAAACCTGATTCTCAAATTCTATAAGTGAAGCATCTTTGCTCTGAGTGTCTTTGTCCCTGAATAAACAAATAAAGAATGTGCCTTGATCATAAAATAAAAGAAATATAATCCTCAACATATGAGTAAAGCATCACAAATGGCAGTCTATAAGAAAGTTGCTGTAGGTGAAATTCTCTGCGTAGCATGAACCATGAAGCAATTTGCTAACTTAATCATCATGGTGATTATAATCAAAAGATGTTAGGCAAATCTATTGTACAAAACTGAAAACAAATGAGGCCTGCACTGATATGATTACTAAGTTGACATAAAGAAGTACATCACGTTGCATATCAACTCATGAATAACATAAATTTGATATGAAAGAAAAATTGAATCTGGTTAGCATCAAATAAAACTATGTAGCAAAATTCCTATTCAATAAAGCTAGACAAGGATGTACATGATACATAGGAAAAACTGTAGAGTTTACTAATGATAGAAAGATATATTTTCTGAATTTCATCATTCAAAGACAGCCAAAGCAATAATATACCCTTAGATTCTAGACCTCTAGAAATGCACACTTAGAGCAACCG